AAAAAAAAAACGACTTTATTCAACAATTCGTCTCCTCCGCATCACCCTGGTGCCATTTTGGAGAGTATCCACTGAACGTAAACAGCGTATGCTATTCTGTCAGCCGCACCACACGGATACGTTTTCTACGTTTATTTACGCATTGATTTGAACGAAAACAACGTATCCGTGTATTCTCGTAGCTTTGTAAAATTACGGTTGAACCCTTGATATCACATGGATTATTTTACCGATGTCCTTGCTACGTTTCTGGAGATTGATCGTGCTGCTTACATTGCTGTCTATGGGAGGGTCAGAGAGCTCTCAGAATTCATCAAAAATATCTTAATTTGTGTTCCGAAGATGAACGGAGGTCTTACGGGTTTGGAACGACATGAGGGTGAGTAATTAATGACAGAATTTTCATTTTGGGGTGGAGTAACCCTTTAAAACCATCATAGAAGTAATCTATATGACTTGTGCGCAATATAAAATTCAAACAATAACGAACAGAATTAAAGCCGTTATTCACTGAATATATAGCCTTCCCTTGTGAAAATAAAGTACACTTTAGCATACTTTTAAAAGGAGTACTTATTATTGAAATAACATACTTCAAAAGTGAACTAAATGTAACATTTCTGGACACTTGCATGCTAATTGCAATTAAATGAAAATGTATTACTGTTAAAATGCATTTATTAATCAAAATGCAATCACCTGAAATGTCGAGTTTTTTGAAGGCACTTAACTAGGACTTAAGTACATCTTAATATGCAATTTCGTAATGATTTCTATGGTTTTAAAATATGGTTATTATAGTATGCTGCTGAATGTACTGACAAGGGTTTGTGATAAACTAAAATATGCTTTAACGCCATTTCTATTGAAACTTGCATGTCATGCATTCAAATATATTAGTAATTATTACACATTTGTAATGATTAAGTTGCAATTTAGTACATTTAAAATACATTAACTTTAAATGGCTCAGTGGTAGAGCATTGCGTTAGCAGCACAAAAGGTAGTGGGTTCGATTCCCAGGGAACACACATGCTGGTAAAAAAATGTATAGTATGTACATTTTATACATTTTTATACAAAAATGTATAAAATGTATAATGCACAGTAAGTCGCTTTGGATAAAAGTGTCTGCTAAATGCATAAATTATTATTATAATTATAAAATAAGTGTTGAAGCATGTCAAAAGATTGTTAAGAGATGATGTTTTAAATAAATACAAATCACATATTATATCTTTTTAAAAAATACTTTTAGGATTTGAAGTAAATAAGCTCACATTCAATATACTTAAGCACACTCCTTTTTCACAAGGGTTGAAAGTCTTATTTGACCATTCACTTTCATTGTACAGAAAAGAGCAGCTTAAACATTCTACTATTTTTGTGTTCCACAGAAGAAGAAGGTTTCGATTAAATCACTAAGGGTGAATAAATGAGGACCTTTCATTTATGAGTGAACTATCAAACCACATATTTCAGGCCACTTGGATCATCATCTGTGACTTACGGTGATCATAACAAACATGCACTGCGAGACATTGAAGGCATGCCTCCAGTTGTGATAGGCTACGGTGCGGTAGTTCTTCCTCACGGTAAGCAGCCAGCGGCACAGCACCTGAGCAGGAAAAGAAAGGCACGCTGTAGTATTCACACCATAGCTCCAGACCCTCCCTGTGTTCCCGAAACCAGCCTGCAGCACAGTCTCTCCCCCAATCCATAACCCAGCGCTCCCTACTTCACACAGCATACATACACTGTAAAAAAAATTCTGTAGTTTTTACAAAATAATTTTGGCAGCTGTGGTTGCCAAAATAATTTTGTAAAAAATACAGAAAAACTGTAAACACATTTACGGCCATAAACTGTAAATTTTACAGTATAAAACTGTAATTTACAAACAAGAAAATTTGAATGTAAACCAGTAAATTCAACAATGCACACTGCTATTAAAATCTGTTTTGTACCTTTAACATAAACTGACAACCACCATAATAATGCAGGTGGTAAAAGAGAAAGCCACATGAAGAATCAAAGCTCATCACAAGTAGCTTCGCCACAAGCAGAAGTATATACTAATATATAGAAGGTCATTCATGCAAACACAAAACACCATCATGGTAACACACATGATACTTAAATAATGCATTAAACTTTCATTAAACAACAGAAGATGTAACATAAAGCCCAAATATACATAACTAATAACAAAAACTATTAAAAAAACATGATTATTTAAACAAAATACTTTCAAATGTGGAGTGTCATGCAGGGAATTCTGGGAATAAAAAAACCATGATTATTTAAACAAAATACTTTCAAATGTGGAGTGTCACGCAAGGAATTTTGGGAATATCAGTTTACAGTTTTTGACTGTAAATTATACATTTATTTGTTATTTTTACTTCTAAAAACTGTAAAATTAACAGCATTTTACTGTAAAATTACATGAAATATCTGGTTAGATATTTTACAGTTTTTCCCTGTATATAGTACGGGAACTTACTGTTAACCTATTAACAGTTTTTTCCGTAGTGTTTTTACAAAATTTTACAGTTAAAATTACACTTATTTTTTACAGTGTATGTAAGCAGCATTTCACTCTTCCAGTCAGTATAGGGTTGGCGTTTGGCCCCCGCTCTGATGGGGATTGCCTCACCTCATAATCAATTTTGAATTTCTGCACGACACCGAGCTCCAAAAACATCCGCAGGGAAGCAGTGATCATGGCGTCGTTGTCCAGAGAAAAGTCATTAAAGTGGAACTCATCGATCCCGAGCTCACTGCTTAGGGGAATCTTAGCAGCCTGAGACAGGAGAGGGGACAATCTCAGCAACTCCAGTAGCAAGGCAATTAAACACCAGAGTAGAGCCTGATCCACTGAGGGCTCAAACACAAAGAGTATATTACACTCTGCCATTTCAATTATTAATACTTCATACCAAGTCTGGGACCCACCATCTATAAATTTCTAGGAAACGCTGGGGGCTGAGATGTTTTTTACACTTCTATCTCTCTAATGTATGAGTTTAATTTGAAGTTTTCTATATGCTACTGATCTGGGAATCTTATACCAACCTTTTATGGATGTGTTGTATCGCACTTTGCAACACTACAGAATCTAGCTCTATCACGCTGTAAAGATAATAACGCACTGGTCATATACAGTAAGTTGTAATGCTGTTGATATTAAATTCAAATGTGCTTTATTGCATGACAGGCATTACAGCGTATTGCCAAAGCATTTGTAATATTTACAACGAATCAGATACTGAATGAATAATTTATAATATTATAAATTATAAAATAGGTAATTAAAGAGTGATTTACTTTTTGCTATAGTTATAGTTTATTTAAATAGCTTTATTTCTATGCAACAGGACTTATAATACACGAAATAGCATGTGACAAAAATAATTTTTAAATGAACATATGTCTTTTTAAAAAATTAGGTAATCAATAAAATCAATATTTTTTTGTTGTTCCTTTGACACATTTTTTTTTTTTTAATTTACTTGAAATACAGTATACTGTTCAGGTGTCTTATGCTCACCAAAGTTGCATTTATTTGAAAATAAGTTTACAGTAAAGTAACATAAAATGATACAGCAAAAATAGTAATATTGTGAAATATTATTACAATTTAAAAAAGTTTTCTATTTTAATATATCTTAAAATGTAGTTTATTTCTGTGATGGCAAAGCTGATTTTTTAGCATCATTACTCCAGTCTTCAGTGTCACATGATCCTTCAGAAATCATTGTAATATGCTGATTTGGTGCTCAAGAAACATTTCTGATTATTATCAATGTTGAAAACAGTTGTGCTGCTTAATATTTTTATGGAATCTGTGATACATTTTTTAAAGATTCTTTGATTTACAGAAAGTTCAAAAGAACAGCATTTATTTGAAATAGATTTATTTTGTAAAAAAAAAAAAAAAAAGCCTTT